GGGGAGCCGGTGCTGATGGTCCGGGAGTCCGAGACATTCTTTCCCAGCCTCACATGCTGCTTGAGGCGTGTAAGACTGCAACTCTGCTTCCTGCTCCCAACTCTGGATAGTCATATTTTGGGGGGTTTAATAAATTTGTCCATATTTCTAGAAATGAGAGCTGCTCCATCCAAAGTGGGATGGATGCCGTCTCTCCTAACAAGACCAGGTTTCCTCCAGAAGGTTTGCCAATTATCTATGAAGCCCACATGTTGGAGTAAAAATCAGGTAAATACCTGAGCGGTGACCATGGCCCACTTGTCCGGTGAGTCCAGTAACAGAGGTTTGTTATCTTAAACTAAATACGGACAAGCATTCAAACTTTTGTAGGCATTCATATCTTCTCCAATTTAATTTGAGGGCTTGTTGATAACATAATGATATAAGACAGACAGAATGCCAGGGTTACGCTCCACAGCATCAGTAAACACACTCGGAGGGCACAGATCAACGTCCATCTTCAGGCCTTCTTTGCCCGGTTTCTCTACATAATGAGCAAAATGAAAGTGTTGTACTTCCTCTCAGAGTATAAACACTCTTTTGTTTAATCATAGTTGCCTTAGTTTATTTAATTTACAACATGTTAATGTTAGGTGGTGACTGGTCACATGTCTGCAGAACCTCTGCAGGTTTAGGATTCCTTTCAGATCTCTTCATTTAACATATGGAGCACTAAATAGCCAGGGCCCACATCATTTATCTCAGCTCCCGCTGCTCACTGTCTACGTTCACAGCTCCAGGTTCGCCAGGCCAGCAACCATCTGTGTGGAATCATGGCTCTGGGGCCAGCTCACGCAGCCCGGTCGATCTTCAGTCTCTCACTCCACCAACAGTTTAGTATTTAATGACGTGACATAAAATATTAATTTTGCACTGACAAGAGGAAGGAAGCAGAAAAACTTGAGATGTTTGAGTGACCTCTTCTCTTAAACCTCACACCCTCTCTGTCATTCCATTAAAGACAGTTTATTACCCCTGGAGGCCCTTCAAGCAACACTAATCACATCCCAGTGGCCAAAACCTTGAGTGGGTGGTACAATGACACTAATACCAGGTCCTGTTTTAGTACCTGCTTGGCCGGGGTTTATAGCCATCCGAGCAGGTACTAAAATGTGACGACGTTGTAGTGAAAAAGGGCTTTTCGTCTGCGACACCAAGGCTGTGCAACAGTCTAACACAACACTACGTTTAGCTGACTCTGTGGAGTCTTATTTTCTGTTTGTGCTGTTTTGGTATTAATGTACTTATTTTATCCTGGTGCACAGCTCTTTGTGACCACACCTCTGTGAAAAGTGCTTTATTATAAATACACTCATCCTTTCTCCTCAAAGCTTCATCGTGTTTCACATCGAGCTCCTGGAAAAGTCATCAGACAGAGACAGGAATGTTTTTGTTCTGCAGCAGAAATCACATGACAAGCAATAAGTCTGATCTGCTACTGAATTATCCTGTGTGGATATCATAAAAAACTTTATTTACATTGGGTCCTGTTAAAGGAGCATCGATAACATGAAACTAGGAGGAAGTGACTCTCCAAAAGTTGATTCTGTTCATCTGGACGCAGCGTTTTGTGGGAGAAACGTTTCATCACTCATCCAGGTGACGTCTTCAGTCTCAGCTGACTGCAGATTTCCAATCTTATAAACAGGACATTTACACAGTGACTGAAACCAGCCCACTGAAGGAACAATGGGCTGGGAGGTCAGTTGCGTCATCATTATTATGCAAATTCACATGACCATTGATCAACAACCACTGATCAAAGCTCATTGATCAATGACGGGAATGGCTCCAATCACAGCATTGTAAGATGGTGACAGATGTACCCTTAGGCCCCTCCTCCATTCAGAGATGGTCTTTCCCTTTTTTCACGTAAATGGCCTCCTTGACTCCGCCCTCAAACCAGCGTTCCTCCCTGTCCAGGATGTTACATCCTCATCCTTGAAAGAGTGTCCACTGGCCTGTAGGTGTGAATAGACTGCAGAGTCCTGGCCTGACGAGGTGGCTCTGCTGTGTTGTGCCGTCCTCTTAGCCAGAGGGTGTTTGGTTTCCTTCATTTCTGTCACACAAAGCTGTATGGGACGTTTCTCGCGGTTAGTATCATGGTTGCTAGGCAACCTGAACAGCGCGACGATGGCTAGACCGTCCCATTTCACAAGCCTCTCACTTCCGCACTTCTCGTACTTATAGTACGCACCGTACGTAGTACGCGTAGTGCGCATACTTCAAGCGCGCGACACAGCCACAGGCGTTCGGGGGGGGGGGGTCCGAAACACACACCCAGCCCTGCCCCCTGATTTCAATCAGAATCAGAATCAGAATGGGTTTTATTGCCAGATGTTGAGGTTTACAACATTAGGAAATTGCTGCGGTGCTTCAGTGCAAACAATAAGAATTAAAGTGCTATGTAGAAAGAAAGATATGTGCATGAGATATACATGAGAATAAGAATTATGAGTGCTACGTAGAAAGATATATACATGAGTGCAGGTGGTGATCAGTGCCAAACATGAAATGAGATGATGCAGTGACACAGCGTAGGGTCATGTGTTAGTGGCGTCCCACCTGCAACAACAAAGAAAATACGTGTGTGCTTGAGAGAGAGAGAATTGGGGGCAGGGGTGAGGAATTTCTTTTGTCTGTGGACCTGAGAGGGAGGAGGGGGAGAGTGGGGGGGATTTACCGAGTTTAAGATGAAAAAAACTTTTTATATGTTTCAAACAGCTGCAGAGACACCAATCAATCAGTCGAATAACGGCAATTAACGATGAGGAGGGCTAACAGCTGTTTACTCTGTGTGTGTGTTGGAATCACTTTATTCTGCTCCAACAGTTTGAACTCTTTAGTTCTTGGTGTTTTTCTTGCTGCGAGCACAACCACGTTACTCGGGCCGGATGTTTTAATTTGAAAGTCAGCCGGTCTGTTCGGAGGAGGAGTTTGAGGGGAGCTAAGGAGGTCCGAGGAGGTCCGGGGGGTCTTCAGACTGTGAGGATTTGCAGCATGTTTCAGCTTCAGCTCGCGCTGCTGCTCGGTAAGTTAAATAAAGTTTTTTTCCAATTTCAAACTTTCCTTAAACACGTCAGGGTTTGATTTCAAACATCCAGAGTTGCATCTTCGTGTTTCTTTGTTGAAAATTACAAAATGCTGCTGCTTCCTCTCAGCCGCTCGTTTCATTCATGATGAAATAATCTAACATGAAAATGAGTGTTAGACACTTCGGGAAACTTTCAGAATAAAATGGGCTCGGAGGGCTTTTGTAATGAGTTCTAGTGGAATAATCTTTAGGAATTTGTCCACATGTTTGATGTGTAAAAGAATTCAGAAGCTGATGATCATGAAACTCAAAGCAAACGCACACATTTTGCCAATGTGTGATAAATAAAGTTTAGTTGAAATCTGTGCAGTTTGTTTGTAACATGTGACTTTAAACATGTTTGGTCCTCTCAGAGATCAGCTTAGTGATGATCAGTAATCTGCGGATAGTCACTCGTGAAGGTTTGACTCACTGATTTTTCTCTCCTCATTATGTCCTCCAGAATACAAGCCCAGGAGAAGCAGCTCTGAGTTTAGTTTCCAATCAGCTGCGCTTTGTCTCTTTAATCAATAAATGTGGGCGGGGCTTCGTTAATCCTGCGCTCAGATTTTTACCATTACGAGAACGTACCATTCTCTCAGGTCTGCAGGTGTTTACCTGTGCTCAGGAGGGTGGGGCCGCGGACGACATCAGCCAACCCGAGCTCAGTGATGTGTGCACTGAAGGCAGCTGTTACCCAGCAACAGGAGACCTTCTGATTGGCCGAGCCCATCAGTTGTCATCCACCTCCACCTGTGGAATGAACCGACCCGAACCATTCTGTATCGTCAGCCACCTGCAGGTAAATTTAATGGTTAACAAGATCATGACTGAAGGTGTCAGACAGAAAAGTCCAGAGAGACCCAAGAAGAACACAACTGGGCACCAAACGTCTTATAAAAGGAGGTAAAGGCAACACAGGGGGCAGCTGTGGTTAAAGGGGCACATCGCCCAGCAGACTCCGCCCCCGGCCTCGGCCTCTCCGTGCTGCATGCCGGAGTGTACCAGTCTATTTAGCTCAACAATCAGGAACTCATCACTTCAGCTTAGTCTTTAGCTTCTTTCAGAAATACTGAAAGTACTGTAACTTAAAAACTGAGACAAGTCGTTGGTGACCTCTGACCTCTAATAAGATCCTATATGAAGGATTCAGGATGAATTTTCCATCGAAGTCCAAAGAATGGGACATTTATGCTATGAGTGCTTAGGTAGTCTTCATACATGGATGAGGTGTAAGCGATCACTTCAGATGTCTTTATCGGATTAAACGTTAGGTGGTCTAATTAGGTCTGAGTATCGCTAAGAGTTCAGTGCAGCGCTTTTATCAGGGGCGTTTCAGTACCGGAGACGCAAGCGACGTTACCGGAGAATCCAGTATCATCAGACAAACTCAGCCATCCGGTTTAAACGACCTTCAGCTCAGTCCCACTCCGTGTGTGTGTTACAGTCTGAAGTGTTTCCTGTGCAAAATGAGCTCCCTATAAGGAAACCATGAGCGCTGGCTGCAGACAGATGTTTGTCCAGATGTTCCTGTGGAGAAAACACAGCAAACTCAAAGGTCACGCTGTTTTCATCCAATCAAAAGTCAATAAACCATACAGGCTGATTGTAAACATCAGGTTTTAATGTTTGAGGCAAATGTGTGTGGACATGTGTCGTACGTAGATAATAACAGCGTGTTCGAGTTGCCGACATTCTTCCCTCATGTGACTTTGATTATACATCCTCTAATTCCTTCCTTTCATTCAGTCCTTCGTCCCAGATCCTCGCTCTGTGGTTGCTGCTTGAACATCAAAACTATAAAATGTATTGGTTGTTTTTATAATTCTGTTCAGAGGCAGCAGAGAAACAGGGACGCTTCAGTTCTCAGTCGGACTTGATGTGTCTGTTAGTGCTCCTCTATGTAAGCGCGGCGTGCAGCTTTTTGTCTTGAGTGGCTAGTAACAGTGTTTCACTGAAAAAGCCCTCATCTGCCCCCCTTTGTAACCTCTGCACTGCATCGGGTTTGGTTTCCCCCCTGAGAGAAGTCTGAGCAGCTGAAACACGTTGGGCTGTCCGGGAATCAAGCAACTTTCTGACATCTCTTAATGACTGAGACGTTCCCGGAAGGAAGTTTTCCAAAGTTTTGTCTCTAACTCTAAAAACAAAACCAGTGAGAAGCTTGCATTATTTCAGGTGAAATCAGACTTTTCATTTGTGGGACGTTTGTGGTCAGAAAGTTTCCTCTTATCTGCAGTAACTTACGGCACTGAGGAATCCGAGGAATTCACCTCCTGTTAACCTTTTCCTCCCCCTCTGTCTCATAAACCAGGAGGAGAAGAAGTGCTTTGTGTGCGACTCGTCAGAGCCCTACAACGAGCTGGCCAATCGCACCGACAGCCATCGCATCGAGAACGTCGTCACTACGTTTGCCCCGAACAGACTGAAGACCTGGTGGCAGACTGAGAATGGTGAGGAAGAACATTCAGAGAGGTCAAAGGTCAGACGTGTCGTTACAGGTTTAAAGACTGAGAGCTGCAGACAGGTTTTCACTGTCAGAAGAAAAGATGTTTGTTGTGTTTTATCACCCTCTATCCTCCACTCCTCCATGATTACAGGTTCTCAGGTTGTGGGGCGGGTCCCTGCTGGAGGCCATGTAGTTATTCCCAGGGGTGGGGGATGTTCAGCTTTAAAAAGCCCCGCAGTGAGGAGGCAAACAGCCGACCTGCCATTTGTCCAGGTTCATCAAACAGATAGTTTAGTTTTACTGCAGAACAAACCTCTTACAGGTTCAGACAACACATTGTGCTCTTCACCACAAACCCACTGCGGTAAAGTAACGCTAGCCAGGCAGCTTCATGTCTTTGTTAATTTTCCATTGCTCGCTGTATCTGTATGTCTGCGTTGATTGGCTGATGGTAGGTGCTGTGAGCTTGTATTGTTGCCTCGGCCGAGCTCTGCTGCCCAGATGAACTCGCTGTTCCCGTGATGAGCGAGTGCGTCTGCGCCGCGGTGTTTTGTGCAGAACCAGGTACTCGCTGCAGTGTTTGAGCTGTGGACTCCTTTATGGTGTCATCCTCTGACAGTGGGCATGTTAACACAGATGATCTGCTGTTACCTTTGGTCGTCACTCTTTGGAGTCCTGTTGTCCAATATAAAGCACCTTGAGGCGACTGTTGTTGTGATTTGGCGCTATATAAATACAACTGAATTGAATTGTTGGTTCTTGGACACAGATTTAGTTCTTTTCTCAGCTCCGATCATGTTAATGTGCAGCGACTGCAGCGTGTTGTTGATTTCTGGGCTCTTTAACCGATGTGGCGCGCAGAGTCTGATCTACAGAGTGTTGGTGACTGATGATCTGTTGTCTGTAGGTGTGGAGAACGTCACCATCCAGCTCAACCTCGAGGCTGAGTTTCACTTCACGCATCTCATCATGACCTTCAAGGTGAGTTCTACACATGCAGCAGGGGATTCTGGGTAGTTGACAGGTGATTCTGGTCTCTATTAATCTGAAGAACCAGGTGCACACAGTGATTGAGGAGTTGTTGTGTATTGAAAGGACATAGCAAGTACTCCATAATGGGAAGGGTTACGACCAGGGCTGGACTGGTCGGGCATTACACAATGCAGCTGTCTTCTCCCATACCTTTGCTGTGTGCTCACGTAGCTTGTAGAAAAAGTTTAGTGTGGAAGAAAGTGGAGCTGAAAGTCTGAGAAAACAATAAAATAATGAATTAAAGTGAAATTACTAACATGTTAGCTGCTGCACCGTGAACAGCAGTACCAGTAACAGCCAGTAACCAGACCTCACAATCACAGGAGGCTACAGCTGCACCAGCTGAGGAGAAGTGAGGAAGAGGAGGTGAACATGGTAAGAAAACAGATGGAGGGAATCGGGAAGACAGAGATTCAAGGATTCAGGCTGCTTTGACCACGAGTCACTACTAACTGCTTAAGTGTAGACTTTAATTATTGTCACATGCTGCAGTGCAACTAAGGACAACAACACCTGCACCAACCTGATTATGTGTCAATAATCTGAAATCAAACAGAATGAAATGTTTGCATATGACGCCTCTGGTAGAGGACTGAGCTCGAAGGATAAATCCTGCCCACAGCGCCAGAGGGGAAATCTAATTGGCTTTTGTCAGTGATCATGGTGCATAAACGTGTGCGGTCCAGCCCGGGTCTTCACCACGCCATCATCCTCACCACACGATCCTCAGTTTGCCCACTTTTGTTTTTATTTCCTCAGACCTTTCGACCTGCTGCCATGGTGATTGAGCGGTCAGCTGACTTCGGGAAGACGTGGCAGGTTTACCGTTACTTTGCTTATGACTGCGAGTCGTCCTTCCCGTCCGTTTACCGGGGTCCAATGAGAAAGGTTGACGATGTCATCTGTGACTCGCGTTACTCTGACATTGAGCCATCCACTGAAGGAGAGGTACATCTGCTGCTCCTGCTTCTGTGAATAATACTAACATCAGTATTATTCACACTGCTGCGGGTAATGCTGTTTGTTTTGTTTCCTCAGGTGATTTTCAGAGTTTTGGATCCAGCATTCAGGATCGATGACCCCTACAGTCCCCGAATCCAGAGTGCGTCTCCTTCTCTGTGTCACGGAGACTGAATAAGCGTCGGGGTGTTAACCAGTTATTGATGAATTTTACTGCTTCTTTGTTTAGACATGCTGAAAATCACCAACTTGAGGGTGAAGTTCACCAAACTGCACACGCTTGGAGACAACCTTCTGGACTCTCGTATGGAGATCAAAGAGAAGTACTACTACGCCATCTATGACATGGTGGTCCGAGGAAACTGCTTCTGCTACGGACACGCCTCTGAGTGCGCCCCCGTCGAGGGAGCTGGGCAGATAACAGAGGGCATGGTGAGGACGATTACGGACTGTATTTACATGGCCACGTTGCTATGACGACAACCATGCGCATTAGGAGGTACCCGATTGTAACAGGAAGCCCAGTTGATCCGAGTGGGTGCTAATGGGAAAGTGGCTCCAGGGAGTGTCACGCAGATACCTGCCAATTAGTGTCTGTAACATCCAATCAAATCAGGGACTCTAATTAGCTGAGGTGAGGCCTAGCAGACACCTAGCAGCTACGTCCACCTGTGAGTCAAAGAGGCCACGCCCCTAGTAATCAACACTTTAAGCTTAAAGCAGTTTAAACATGTGAGCAAACAGCATATCAAGTTGTAAACATGTTGACTTCTGCTGTGAAATTCAACATGGCGGTCTGTGGGGACCGAAGTGTAGGCTTTGTGCTTTGGCGTCGTTGTTCTTTCATAAGCAGCTGAGCCGGTGGTGAAAGTAAACCATCACCAGCGTAGAAAAGTATAAAATCACACAGACACTGGAAGAAACGGTGCAACAGGCAACTGACTACATGTACAAAAAACCCCAAACCCAGCTTATGACCAGTAATGTAAGCGAACGCTGATTGATTATTTGTGACTGTGTTTCAGGTTCATGGTCACTGCTTATGTAACCACAACACTAAAGGTCTGAACTGTGAACAGTGCCAGGACTTCTACCATGACCTCCCCTGGAGACCCGCAGAGGGACGCAACACCAACGCCTGCAAGAGTGAGTCTGCACCGGTCCATACTGGGCAGGGCCCATAATCACTACTGGGAGTAGTTTAACTGTCCCCCCTTCTTCTTCTGTGGTGTCCTCAGAGTGTAACTGTAACCAGCACTCGGACTCGTGTCACTTTGACGGGGCAGTCTTTGCGGCTTCGGGAAACGTGAGCGGAGGAGTTTGTGACAACTGTGAGCACAACACGGCTGGAAACAACTGTGAGCAGTGCAAACCGTTTTACTACCAGCATCCAGAGAGTGACATCAGAGACGCCAACATCTGCCAGCGTGAGTTCATGGCCACTGTGACTCTTTTTTTAGTGTCAGAGTTTGTAAACCGTCGTTATTTTACTGGTGCCAGGCTAAAAGTTAAAAGCATCTACCCAACACTTCCATCGAGGTTGTTTTTTATGGCTCTTTTGATCATCTTCTTTGTTCTTTGCTTTCACATCAACAAAGAATTGTTGGCTGTTTTCTGAGGAAGTTCACGTTTCATGATGACACAGGCAGACGCGGATAGGAGGTTGTTTTGTCAACAGGAAGTAGATTAAAGGCTGGATCTCAGACTAAACATGGAGGGTTTTTGATGTGACACATGAAGGTTTGTGGTTTCCCTCAGGCTCAGACCTGCCCTCCTCACAGAGGATCGGTTCAACTTAGCTCGCACATCCCTCTCTGAGGGCTGAATAAGCAGCACCTTCTGTTATTACTGCCACTGCATTTCTTTAAAGTAGCAAAGGATTGTGGGTGATGTGACTTCAACGTTGTAGAGAGTTAAAATGTGCTCCAGAGATCAAAGATGGAGGCGGGAGTTTAATTTCCAGGATAGAAACGAATCTTATTTTGGGTCAAAGTCAGAAACGTTCACGGTTTTTATGATGATGTCATTCCACGGCACTTATATGTCCATCATTTAACTTATTGAATTATAAAATGCTTCAACATATCAGAGAGGTGCCTGCGTCTGGGCTGGTGGTGGCGCTGTAGAGAAGCTCACAGTGTGTGAATCATGTCCTCACCTGTCTGTGGATCCGTGTCAGTCTCACACCTAAACACGCCCTGTTGTCAAAGTTGCTCCTGTGGTTCTGGTTAAGCTGGCTAAACGTCCTGTTTCTGCAGCCTGTGACTGCGACCCCGTGGGCTCTCTGAACGGAGGACTCTGTGACGGCACGACGGACTTCCGAGCCGGGCTGATCGCCGGTCAGTGCCGCTGTAAAGCCAACGTGGAGGGAGAACGCTGCGAGCGCTGCAAGCCGGCGCATTTCGGGCTGAGCGATGAGCTTGAAGGCTGCAAAGGTACAAAACGTAACGAAACACCTGCAGGACCAGCTGATACCAGATTACTCCCACACAGACACCTCACGCTGTAAAGCACCTCGAGGGGGCGTGGCTGGGACTTAACATTGTTGTTATGAATGAAGCTGCGTTGCCTTGGTGATGTACTTTTGTGTGTTACTGTGTTGGACAGCGTGTACCTGCAGTCCTCTGGGAACTCTACCTGGAGGAAACCCCTGTGACAGAGAAACAGGAAGTTGTTTCTGTAAACGTCTGGTGACCGGGCGAGACTGTGACCAGTGTGTGGTGAGAAACCCATTCAGACCATTCATTCTGGTTAGACTGGAGTCAGACCAGCAGCAGAAGGAACATTCGTGTCGTCTCACACCTCACTCTCAGCTCCCGTCTCTGTAAGGCTGCGCTGTTTTCTGATTGGCTGGTTTTCACGAGTTGAATCTGTTGCAGAGGCAAACGGGATCTCTTCTAAAGAAAGATCCCGTTCACACTGCAGTCAGTGCGACAGGATGAAGAAGGACCAGTTCATATTAAACAAAGCTCCCAGTATGTCATACAGAGCTGCTCCAGTCCAGTTAGAGGATAACCAGTTCACACCAGCAACAAAAGTCTTTAAAGGCGGCTGGCTTTGAACATGGGAGGGACGTTTAATGCTGCAGAGCCTTTGTTCTGATTCATGCTCTCCATGAAGTCATCGGGTTAATGTTTGCTTTTGGCTCTCTGCTGTTAGTCAGCCTGAGCTTTGAGCTCTCAGACATTTACCCCGACGTAAACAGAAGACACATGTCAGGACGTGAGGCGCGCGCGCACACACACACGCACACACACACACACACACACACACACACACACACACACGCTCTGTAAGATCAGTCTTGTTTAATGAGATTTATGCAAAACACACTATACATCACATTAGTGCAGAGAGATGACTGTAAACAGTGTGTGTGTGTGTGTGTGTGTGTGTGTGTGTGTCCAGCCTGAACACTGGGGTCTCAGTAATGACATGGACGGCTGCAGACCATGTGACTGCGACCTCGGAGGTGCCATCAACAATCAGTGAGTTAGGTATTATGTCACATTTGCTCCGTCGGGAGTTGAACCAACAATTTTATTTTGTTGTGATGTTTGTATTTCCTGTCTGCGTGCAGGTGTGATCACGTGACCGGTCAGTGCATCTGCAGAGATCACATGTTCAGCCGCCGCTGCGATCAGGTGGAGTCTGGATTCTACTTCATTGCTCTGGATCACTACACCTACGAGGCTGAGGATGCAAAGTTTGGACCTGTGAGTGTCCTTTCAGTGTCTGACCTTACTCTGGGTTACAGGGCGGCTGTTACAGGTGGACCTGTAGTCTGTGAGGATTAGTTTCTCCTCCTGCTGGCTCGCACATTTCATCTCCATGTCAGTTCAGCAGGATTATGTGAGGTGTTGAGGGTATTCATCAGCTTTGTGTCTGCATCTCATCTCTTTAGGGAGTGACGGTGGTCCAGAGGCCACACCCTCAGGACCGTAGTCCCACTTGGACAGGCATCGGGCTAGCCAACGTACCAGAGGGGGCCTTCTTGGAGTTCACTGTAGACAACGTCCCTCACTCAATGGAATATGACATCCTGATCCGCTACGAACCGCAGGTGTGAGTCTGCCATTGAACGTGTGCGTCGTCATGATCGAATCAGTGGGAGAATTTTGGCACTTATCTCGTTGTTGTAGCCTTTGTTGACCGGTGTACCTGCCTCATCTGTTAGCCTGAAAAAGAAGATAAACGTGCACGCGCCTGCTTATTCATGTGCACAGAGGTAACATCTCTGTGTGTCTGTCGGCTCTGCAGCTGCCGGACGTGTGGGAGGAGGTTCTGATGACGGTGATGAGACCCGGACCGATCCAGCCAGACAGCCGCTGCATCAACACGGTGCCCGACGACGACAACCAGATGATCTCGCTTCACCCAAGTTCACGGTCAGGAGAGAAGTTTCTAAATCATGACAAGTTTTCGACAAGAACCCGGTCGAAGTGTGAAATATAAGAGCACCGACTAGTTCCTGCAAGCCTTATCCCTTCTTCACCCAGCTGATCTCAGCCCATCATCCTGTCACGCTGACCCTCTGCGTGGCCTTTGTCCATCTGCTTATCTCGCCTTGCTGGGGTTTCAGTATCTAACCCGATCTCTCCCTACAGGTACGTGGTTCTTCCCAGACCGGTTTGTTTTGAATCAGGTCTGAACTACACCATCCGCCTCAGCCTGCCACTGTACGCTACCTTTGGGGATGTCCAGGTTCCATATACGCTGATCGACTCGGTGAGCGTGCTTAGATCTTCTACTTCAGGAAGTAGAGCGTGAAGTCAGTCAGTTTCTTCAGTGCAGACCAAAACCACATTCAGCCAGCCTGGTTACAGAAAGTGAAACATGCTCATTCCTGACCTGGTTATGTGGGATTTTCCTCAGATCGTGCTGATGCCTCACTGTAAGAACTTGGAGATATTCACAGGCTCAGAGGGCGGGGACTCGGGCGGGAATGTCGCCTGGGAGACTTTCCAGCGTTATCGGTGCTTGGAGAACAGCCAGAGTGTCGTCAAGACGCCGATAACTGACATCTGCAGAAACTTCATCTTCAGCATCTCCGCCATGTTGCACCAGGGAGCTAAAGGTAGCACAGCTTAGCACTGTGATTTCACTTTAATAACCTCGCTTCCTGGCTGCAGTTTAAAAGAAAAGGGCTGCTTGTGAGACACTCAGGGCTTAGAGCTCAGGGCAGTGTCTGTATTTATGGTGACTTTGGAGGGGTTGGGGTTTCCTCACGGAAACAAACCTCCCGGAAGAATCAGAGAGAGTCAGAAAGAGAAGGGGAAAATATTTCTGCTGTCCAACTCTGGACAGGAAGGAGGAACCAGAATCAGATTCAGAGAACCTTCCAAACATTGAAGTTTAAAATCTGAAACAAAAACCTCTTCCTCATTCCAACGCCAACCTTTGATCCCTCACATATTTATCCCCTTCCCCTCCTCCCCCGCTTCACGTTAATCTCTGTCACTCATCTTCTCACCATCGCCTTAGGCTTCACTTCCTCGACAGGACCCGGCAGGTTCCTCCTCCTCCGCATTCCTTGCGGTCATAAATCTATTGTCACTGATGCTTTTGCGTCTTCTCGTTATTCTGACGTGTCTCCTTGTCTGATGCCATTTCCCAGAATGCCAGTGTGACCCTCAGGGCTCGCTCAGCACCGTGTGCGACCCCCACGGCGGGCAGTGTGAGTGCCGCCCCAACGTGGTCGGCAGGAACTGTGACAGGTGTTCTCCGTCCACGTTTCAGTTTGGACCCAACGGCTGCCGAGGTCAAAACCACCTTCATCTATAATCAATGAAAAATCTGTTTACAGTCAGCGCTGAAGCTTTACTGACGCTGACCTCTGTGTGACCTCGTCGTGCGTGTCTTTCAGCGTGTGGGTGCGACCCTCAGGGTTCTCTCAGTGTGTTCTGCGATCAGTTGACCGGACAGTGTTCCTGCGTTCCGGGTGCGTACGGTCGGCAGTGCGACCGCTGTCTGCCGGGTCGCTGGGGTTTCCCCGCCTGCCGCCCCTGCTTCTGTAACGGTCACGCCGATGTCTGCGACCCCGACAGTGGCCACTGCATCGATTGCAGGGACCACACGACGGGACGCGCCTGCGACAGGTAACTTACCCACCGTCCGTCAGCCAATCGCCATTGGGTTTATTTAGCAGGATGATGCCATCGGTGCTCTTGTCTTTCAGATGTCTGGATGGTTACTATGGTGACCCAGCACTGGGGTCAGGTGACCACTGTCGTCCCTGCATGTGTCCCGACGGCCCCGGCAGCCCGCGGCAGTTTGCAGGAAGTTGTTACCGCAGCGATGACTCTCAGCAGGTCACCTGTGTCTGCAACACAGGATACAAAGGTGAAAACTTTATTTACACAGACGCTGACACAGAGGTAAGACCTCATCACAGATATTTAGATGCAGATGCTTTGTTGGTCGCAGCGTCAGTCCAGCTGCCATGTTGGTCTGGTTGAGGCGGGGATTCTGGTGCGCATCTGTTAAAATCATTGAAAAGCATGCCAACACAACAGCTGTTTCAGTCTACTGACGACAGCATCGGCAGTATTTCTGATACTTTATCATCAGTGTAAAATTCAATTCAATTCAATTTTATTTATATAGCGCCAAATCACAACAAAAGTCGCCTCAAGGCGCTTCATAGATACAGAGAAAAACCCAACAATCATATGACCCCCTATGAGCAGCACTTTGGCGACAGTGGGAAGGAAAAACTCCC